GGTTTACTATTCTATCTAGTTTAATCACCCAACAGTAAGCTCATATTTCCCCTCATCACTCTCAGTTCTTTGAGCTAATTTCACCCCCTTCTCTATTGTAATGGTTTCCTTATGAAAACACAAATATGAAACCAGTGCACGTCATCAAACATAAACATACTGTCTGCAGGGATCTGTAGGATCTGGAAACAAGACTCCATTCATGGTAAACATTTATAAATGACATACGCACGCACACAGAGATAAATAGATGTTGTCGAGCGATGACAACATAAGCTTGTGTGCACATTGAGGGCACAGCAACTGTTTCACAGACTGGAATGGTAAAATGAAATCACTTTACACTACACGTGTGTGCACTGTTCGCGTCTGCATATTGTGATGTAATCGGTCTGTTCCTGGTATAAGGAAAGGGCTCACTAGTGTCTCCATGGCAACAGGCAGGAGGCAATAGAAGTATGTGTCTTTGTGTGTGTGTGTGTTTGATGTGGGTTTAAAGGGGGATACACATTCTCCTCTACTGAGCTATAACCCTAAATAAGGCTTTACTTGATGGTGATGCACGTCACACAGGACCGTGTCAGTCCTCTGACTGATGCCCGGCCCTTCTGTGGTGGTTCCTCAGGTCTTCTGCACACTACATGCTGGAAGAAGCTACGTCCCTATGACTGTGGAAAGATTTAGGCAGGCAGATATTGGCATTTAAGATCTGCACGAGATGACTAAACACAGGCTGAAGACGGCTTGGAGCCTATACTGTCAACTCCTTTCACTTTATTGAATAAACAAGAGCTAATTTCAAGCTGCATTCCTTCTGACCCCGAAATAAATCCGTGTTTATCCATCAAGTGGTGGTGAAGGTCTTGCTCTGCTCACACATGCACACAGATGTCAGTGGTGTATTTATGGCACTGTGCAAGATGAACATGAAGAACACCCTTTGATACCCCTTCAGAGGAAATCGGCATTGCAGTTTAAGTGCAATCTGTTACTGGAGGTGTAGGGTGGCCACAAGAAAGGCTCAACCTGCAGAATCCGAGGACAAATTAGTAGCAATCGCTTATCAAATTAACATCCCATCAGCCTGCTGCCTGTGCTCGCAGTGAGACCTCTCAATTAATGACTAAATCAGTATTCCAGCCAACCGATTTACTACCTCTTGATTGCGTCCTACAAGTCGACCATAGCCTTAATCAATAAATCTTTAGGTTTCAACAGGGCATGACTCTCACATCTTCATAAACACGCTGGTAAGACCAAAGCGGAGATCTTGCTCTTGTGTAGATCTGAACAGCACCGTGTTTACCTTTGTGAACATGTGAGGATATATCGAAACTGTCAAATCGATGCCTGATATGTCACAGAAAACCCGGAGAGCTCAGATATTTCTCATCGAGAATGAGCAGGGCAACCATTGTTTTCTAAACATATGTAAGCCTTGCATCTGAGAGGCTAAATTAAAGTTTAGCTTATTTCCAGATATTTTATTCCTGTGCTCCAGAGTAGCTTTGCATGATTCACAGTTCAGAATAATCCTTATTTAAATTTTCCTCTGCCTTTATGCAGCTCCTCAATTCATCCTGTGTCTGAAACAAGCTGTTTTACATGGTGTCTGTTTAAGGCCATCCTCCTTTTAAGACAAGTTTGTTCTAACTGGGTTTCTCTTACAGATAAAAGCTTTGGTGGAGCTTTTGTGTAACAGCTTTAAGATTGCTCTTAATGATATGTACTCAGCCTGACATCATAAAGGCTGGAGTAGAACAAAAAACAGTGCGCACACAGGTTATAGGACTAAAATGCACATACAGTTATCTCGTGTTTTCAAACACAGACCATGTTTAAAATGAGTGTCTGCAACTGCATCATATATGAATATAAAAGATGAGATTTCCATGCAGGTTAACAGTGACTGCCTCTGCTGCTGTCGGCCAAATACAAAGGAACAGGATGGAGGATGTTCAGAGGGTTTGTGTGCCAGAAGAGGAAGCTAGGGACAGGGTGAGATGGAGGCAGATGATCCACTGTGGTGACCCCTAGAGGAAGCAGGTAGAAGAAGAAGCCTGCATGATGAAGCATCCTTGGGTACAATACTGAACTTTGTGCCACCTTCCTCGAGTCTCTCGCGCTGGCCTGCCTCTCTTATTTTGTCTCTTTGGCGTGTTGTGGTCACCTTTCCTCAGTGCAGCTCCTCCTGCCTCTCCGCCTTCCTTCAGGCACGCACCTGCCTGCACTGACTCACTTTCTGCTCGTCTATGACTAGGCTAACTACTTCAAGCTTGTCACAGCGTTGCACCAGCCAAGAGACGCCCTTGATTCTGTTTGGTTTGTGTGTTTTATGTCTTGGATAACCTCTCTGTGTAACCTTTCTTGCTATGAAGCCCCACTCCCATGAGCCCTGTTTTGTGTGTGTGCGCACGCCCTGGGAAGCCTGTGTTGCCTGACTGCCACTGCTGGAACTCAAATGCCCCACCATCAGCTTTGTTACTACCTTTTCACTGTGCAAAAAAAAACTTGTCAATAAATCTGTTGAACTCTTACAGTGCTTCACGCCTAGGTGATCATTCTGTTAGCTCGTGACACTTTAATGCATCCGTGACAGAGAGTGCTTACAAGTATAGAAAAAGGTACCTTGAGTAACTACTAACTACCAGCCCATTTATCAAAACAAGGAAAACATGAGATTAAATTCATTTCCTCACTTTCTTTTTTCCACAAGTGTTGATGAGATATTATCAAGACCAACAACGATTCAATATCACATTTACCACCACATCAATCATATGGAAAGAATGACTGTGTGTGCATGTTGGCTGTGTGTGTGTGTGTCTGAGTACATGCTTTTAAAATGGGCTTTCCTGGAAATGCTGCCAGAGAGCGACGACTTCATTTCCCATCACTTACTCACTGTAATGTGAGTTGTAAAATGTCTAACATCTGATTATTTTCAGAGGTAAAATGCATATCGGCTCCTTCTTCCTCGTTTCAATTGAATTATTTATATCTTTCTCTCTCTCACACACACATATTTCTGAGGGTTACTGGAAGTCAGTTATTACTTTATTCTAAATATAGACCCATCAGTAATCACACTTGTATTTGAATATGCAGTCTATGTGCCCACTCATGAACAATGTTAGCCTCGATCTCTCTCATGAGATACAGTACTAGCTTTACTCTTTGTTGGCTCCAGGTTGATATTGAGAGCATACACTCACCTCCTCCAAACAAGCTTACGGTATAAAGTTTCCTCTTTTAAGCTCTACTGCTTAGTGCGACTAATGAGAAGCCTCTGTTTAAATTAGACAACCCTGTAGACCTTGCCTTTCAGAGTTACACTTTATGACGACATGCGGTGTCTTTTCAAAGTGTTGCGAATGAACCTGATGTTCTCTTGATTGCTTTTATTGACCTCTTGCAAAAACGAGCTAACAGTGCACTGTTTTCCTGCATGGGCATGTTTACACAAAACTGTTAACAGATACACTGTTACAGATACACGTAAATGACACAGGTGAAATTCATGGTTAACCTCAAGTCATTATTAAAATAATAATTATTATTACCAAAGTAAATATTCAGTAAATGAATCAATAGATACAAAAAATAAATAAATGAAAAAAAGGGATGATGTTGATATTTTCTATCACAGTTTTCAGTTTGTCTCCTAGTTTGGAGCTTAAGACTTGGTAATAAAAAATAAAGGAGTTAATCTATGAGATTCTCACATGTGAGAGAATTATATAATGAAACAACAAAATACTGCAAGTGCCAATTACTAACATCTGAAAAGGCTGTATGTGGGTATGGATACGGAAACTAAAAGAAAAAAGCGTGCAGTCAAAGCCCTGCACATCGCTGCAACAGTAACACCTTCAGTTTTAGGGGTTTGGTGTTTTGGCTCGTTGCTATGGTATCACATATGGAACACTACCTTCAGCATTGTATAAGACATCATATAATATGTATGCATATTATATTATATTAGAAGTTTTTTAAGTATTTAATATAATCGTGTTATATTTTCTGTACATTATGAAATAATTTTCGACACAAAGTGGGTAAACAAGAAGGGATGAGTTGTGTCTTTGCTCAAAGCGACAGGGCAGGGATGACAAACTCATTTTACACGGTGTTTAACTAATTAAAACTCAGCTTTCTGTCAGTGTAAAGAAGTTTAATTTCACATTTAAACCCTGATATATTTTAATATAAGAAAAAAGTGTAATAGTAATTTTCAATAGTGCATCTCGGTTCTTTTTGCTGAAGTCTGTGAGGATGACTCTTTGGGCTTAAATTGTAAGAAATAAATGCAAATTGTAAAATGTAAAGAAACCTTGTTAGTGTTATTGTGAATCTGCTGTGAAAATCAGAATTTTCTACAGCAGATAGTGACAAACGGGAACTTTCTGTCATTTCATTGGTCGTGTATTTCTATTTTAGTGCAGTATGAATGGGAACGGGGGAGGTCATCATGAGTAGGAAAAGCTGCAAACCTTACGAAAATACAATTAGATGTCCAAAAATTATATCGTGATTCACATTGTCCAAAGAATTGTGCTTCATGATTAATGCTTATTAATACTTTATATATACATGAAATTATATTATACTCTATATAACTATATTATATAGGCCCACATACGTGGACGTATAAGCGAATTAGATCCTCAACAATCCCGAACAAGCTTCAACATCAACACTCAGTCCTCTAATTAATCCGTTTGACTTCCCCTAAATTAGGAACGGTCAGTTTGACAGGACTAGCCCTTTAAACGATTCCTCTGAAGAAGGGAACAGTCCATTTCAGTAAAAAAGGGGGTACTCCGTCACTGCCTCGTGGTTTTTATACATTTTAACACCAGAAACACATCCTGGGAAAAGACAGAGGGCTTATATTTTTGTAATAATCATGAACACACATTTAATATCACACTGAAAAACAACATTTAGTCCTTTCGCGTCTCAACAGTAAAACCATTGTCCACCCCTTCGGGGGCGCATCTATTTTTAGCATCAGCTGTTGCAATACAAAGATTAGCTACTCGGCGTATTGTTTCGTAGATGTGGGCAGTTCACTCTCGTCTGAGGCGAAAGGGCGGCGGTGGTTTGAAGTCGAGCTGGAGGATGAGGAGAAACATGTCGGTGTGAGGACACGTCGCCGTTGCGCCAGAGGGAAGCTCGTTGTAGGTGAGTGTGAGACTCTAGAGGTCGTGAATGCGGGCGTCGGTGTTCCCGCGGGTGAATTCTGCCGTTAACGCGAAAGCCAACAACTTACTGTAGCCTAGCTAACAGCCACAGGATTACTTCGAGTAATGACAGCACGGCAGGCGGTCGGCGGGGATTAGCTCGCTGTAAATGAGCGTACGACCTACCGCATCACATTTGCGGAATTTTCTTTTTCAGTGAAAACTTGAAGAAAAGGATGAAGCAGCCGAAATCCGTTATTCAGGGGCGGTTACTGTCGGCGTCCTCACACTCAGGCAGGCCCTGGCTCCGTGTGTCAGACGTTTCCAGCAGGGAAGAGTCATAAACACAGTGTTTGCCTTTTCTCTTATTCTATTTCTTTATTTCCAGCAGCTGTGTACACACACACACACACACACACACACACACACACACACACACACACACAGTGGTGTCCGGCTGTGAGGCAGAAATCGTGTGCAGATTTAACCGCTGGA